TTTTAGTTCTAATTTGTAACCACTTGCCCTCCTGAGGATTTACTCACCTTCCTGACCAGGCCATTTTTTGCGTTATGGTGCTGCGTTACTTTAACTAACAATTGCATGGGTATGCAATACTGCACCCAAATGAAATTTACGTCCTTTTTTTCCACACAAATTGAGATTTCTTTGGTGGTATTTGATTGCCTGTGCGTTTTTAATTTGTTGCGTTATAAAAAAAAAAAGACTGACAATTTTGAGAAAAAAACAATATTTTTGCCTTTTTGCTATTAAACATGTCCAGTAAAAAAATTTTAAAAATCAAATTTCGTCATAAATTTAGGCCAAAATGTATTCTGCTACATGTCTTTGCAAAAAAAATCTCAATATGTGTAAATTAATTGGTTTACATTAAAGTTATAGCATTTACAAATGGCGGTGTAAATACTGGAATTTTCTTTTACTAGTAATGACGGCGATCAGCGACTTATAGCGGGAATGCGGGACTGCGGCAGGCATTCTGACACTGGGGGAACTGACTTGGTGTCACTGACATCCCCAGTGCTACCAATACAGTGATCAGTGCTAAAAAAAAGCAATGGTACTTGTCACGACCTGCGGTCGCCGCCACCAACAGGCGACAATCGCACAGCCGCGACTAACAGTAATACATCACGCCCACGGCGTCAGACCCCAGACCTTCTCACCAAACTCGTGACCGAAGGGCCAGCCGATCCAAAACCGCGGTGTGACGCGTGTAACAAGGCCCCACCCAGCTGCACCCTACACAGCGATTGCCCAGCTAATGGACTACAATCGGTGCCTGCAGCCTGAATGCGCTTGTTACTGGGTCGGGTCAGTTACGCAACTAACCCTCTACTGCCACCACCACTTTTGTCGGAGACTGCGAAACTCCCGTTACCAAATATACACTATAATGATTGAAATATTGATCTATATAGCACGGCCCGCGGACCTGCTATACAGAAATATAACCACAGTAGCGTCTCTTCAAAGGCAGGGATTCGTGAATTGCAAGTAAGCGCTTAGAAACAGTTTAACACTTTCAAAAAGAAAGATTTATTGCTAAAAGCGTTGGATGCAAAATAAATAGTTACAAAGATGTCACAAAAATATATATATATGTATATAAAGACACAGCAAACATAGAATAGTGAGGAAATACAGGGTAAGTTACTTGCCTTGCCTGGTTTTAGCAAATTCAAGTTGTGAGCCGAAAGGTTCTTTGATCTCCTCTGTTACGATGTTACCTCGGAGATCTCTGTGTGTGTGTGTGTGTGTGTGTGTGTGTCAGTGTCACACACTCTAACTCTCTTGAAAGTCCCTCTCAAAAGAGGAGGGGGGGCTCTGACTTGGGAGTGGTCATTGGGAAACTCTACACTAAATTACCAGCTCATATATCCCGTGATATGAACCATACAGTTGATCTGAGGAATGTTCAGTTCTCGGGTCCCTTTGATAAGGTGTGGGCTTACATAGTTTGGGTGATAAAAGTGACACCTTTGTAGACAGCGTGTCTCCACTTCTAATATCTTAGGTTGTTCCACCTCATCTGCCAGGAGATAAAGTCTGCCTCACAGGAATGCAGGGGGGATGTGAGGATTCCAGGAAGACCTCAAATACACAGGCAGAACACGAAAAAGAGAGTGTAAAGGGGGACTCCGCTCCAACAAGGATGAGCAAGTTTGCCACACCTCCCCCTTAAGTGGTTGCCAAGGAGTGAGCTACAAGTTCTCTCCTGACGCAACCGACCTCTGTCCAGAGGTTCCTCTTGGGACGTCCTGGTACCGCTGTACTGCGGGAGAACCGAATTCCGTCTGAACAGGAAGCCGTTCTCTTCAGCAGCACTGCTGGGCCGACCAAATGAGTGGTCACGGGTGGGTACCAGTCGGCTGTGGCTATCCAAATCCCGTTGCAACTGCCAGGGTGCCCACCTGTTCACAAAACACTTCGGCTCAGGGGTGTCCTTTGCTAACATATTAATATGTAGCTTCTTGTCGAGGTAGAGAAGATGATTTCCCTCTCCTACCTTCTTCCTCAGGCTTAGGACTACATCTGGCCTGAAGGTAGTAGCGTCCGTGTGCACCGGAACCGGACAGGCGAATTCTGGGCCTCGCCTCCCAGTGGTGTCCACAGGTACCTTCATCCAAGATGGACAATCCTCGTTACCTGCTAGCATCCAGGACACCAGTTCCTCCAGTTTCCTGTCTGCTAGGCCAGTCACAGGCCCAGCTGAGCCATGATCATCGCATCCAGGCGTCTTACCGTAGCCAGCTGTACCCGCGACTGACGTAACCTGCTTTTTGGCCTGGGGAGCAGACCAGGCCTCAACTGCCTCAGTCTCCCCACGCCCAGACCTCTGGGGGTCTCTTTTTACTGATGGGTTCCTAAACTGAACCACTTACATGCCTCTCTGACAGTTACCCTTCTTGGCTGTCAGACTGGGCACAGGCGGTTTGTTCCAGCCTAGTGACAGGGGCCCAAGTGGCTCTTCCCAGACCGGGCCGAGCACCGCGAGGTCCCTATAGTGGACAACTGCACCCAGGTCCACTGCGCATTGCGGGCCACTCCTGACCGCGGGAGTGGCGGTCAGTGCTTTCTCAACCCCAACTAGCTTTCCCGTGGATTCAGGCAAGCCACATGGGGTAGTGAAGGCTGGCTCGTCTGGTGCTTGCTGGGTTAGAGATGGTGGCCCATGCTCCTTGCTCAAGTCCATGATGGCAAAACAGTAGGCACCTTCCGGATGCTCCATTGCCTCATGGCTCCTGGGCATGGGGTAGGCCACAAACCCAGGGCTGGTGTTCAGTTTCCCAAGGTTCTCAGAAAGCCTGGTCATCATATCCTGCTGAAGGACCGCGACCATTAGGACTGCCCAGACTCTAGCTGATCCCTGGATTCCTGACTGTGCCATTCCCTTTGCCTCTGTGGCCCAGTCAGCCGGCACCTTCTGAATCCAGACACCATCTATCAGAGGCCTGGGCAGCTGCTCCGGACCCCAAGTGCTAGGGAAGGGTGATTGGGTCTGGGCCCGGAGGCCCTCTCTCTGTAACCCAAGCATCAACCTTCCTTCCACTTGTAATCCAGGCCTGCTGCCTCTGACCTCTGTCTGTCTGCCTGTGAACACACCTTGACAAGTGGGATTAACTGACAGGCTTGCAGGTTCCCAGCCCCCACTGACTAGGCCAGTCATTCTAGCCTCCTTGCTAGTTTGTTTACTCTTCCCAGCAGGGGGGCTCACACCTAGCCCTGGACTAAAATTTCCATCTGAATGGCTTTCCAGAGCAGTCTTCCCTGTGGGACTACAAAGCTTGGTTAGCTTATCTCTGAAGGTCCTTTGAGACTCACTTTTCAGGGCTGCCTGAAGTGTGGAACTACAAGTCCCAGCCAGCTTACCTCTGAAGGTCCTTTGAGACTCACTTTTCATGGCTGCCTGAAGTGGGGAACTACAAGTCCCAGCCAGCTGTGGTGTGCCTTCCTTAGCAGGGCAACTCACAGTTAGCGGGCCTCTGAAGCTCCTTTGGGAATCGCTTTTCAGTGCTGCCTGAGGCGTGGAACTACAAGTCTCAGCCAGCTGCCTAGTCCTATGCAAGGCCAACGGCTGGGCACTTATCAAGGCACAATCTTCTGAGCCTGGGCAAGGGATAGGCCTATCCAGACAATCCCCTTGCTGAGCCCCCAGAGACTGTACCTCAGCCCCCAACACTGAAAATGCATCCTTTGTTTCATCACAAATCTCATTGTTAGCATTACCAACATTGCCTTCAACAATACAAACATTATCAATGACATTACCATCAATGCTACTGATATTATCCATGACATTCCTATCAATGCTACTGATATTATTACTGACATTCCAGACTGTATTCCCAATGTTACTAACATTAGTAAGATCACCCTCAGTGTCACCACAACGATCCTCAACAGTCATGTTCATAATATCAGTGACGCATGAGTTCAATACCTCCCCAGGCAAGGGGATTTCTTCTTGTTCTCCAGCTAATGGAGACTCCTGTAGCCCCACACCATTCCCAGCCCCCTCCCTCTGTCCATCCACCGGTGGCCCAGACATTACCCCAATATCTGTCCACAGTTCCTTGGCTGGTCCAGAGAGTTCCAGAGGGCCCTTCCTGGTCTTCTCGGCAGGAGCATAATACGAAAGGAGAGCGCCTAGGTCAGCACCCAACAAAACAGGGGTGGGCAGTTCATCCGAGACCCCCACCTCTCTCATCCCCCTCCCCGCACCCCAATCTAGGAATACCTTTGCACAGGGTATGCGTGAACGGGTCCCCCAACTTGTCAGGAATGGACTGGCCAGCAATGGTGGGACTCTCCTGCCTTTTGATCTGCAGTACCAGGGCTGGCCAGCGGATGCTCCCAGCAATCAGAGACTCAACTTTGCAGCCAGCTAACACCTGGAACTGATTATGCTGGGGTATTTAAGGGATGGCCAGACCCACAGACTCTGCCTTGGTGTTGTGTTTGTCCTGGGCCCTGTATCCTGTTTCTGTCCTGCATCCTGTTTCTGTACCGCATGTCAGTACCCTGTTCCCACTCGCTGCACCTATCTTGCCTTTAACCCTGTAAAAAAGCCCTCTGTAGCAACTGCTCCCTCTCCTGTTCCATCCTCCAGTTTTTCTCTGTCTCCAGCTGCTCCATTCGTTTGCAGACCTGCGTTTACTTGCAGTGCTCCAGTAGTTAAAACCAGAAAAAAGCGAAAATTCTTTCCAACCAATACCATCCTGCCAGTATCCAAACCGGTGAACCTGCCTTCCGTGACTCAGCCTGAATCCTCTACTCAGCCTGAAGCCTCTACTCAGCCTGAAGCCTCTACTCAGCCGGATGCCTCTCTTCAGCCTGATGCCTCTCTTCAGCCTGATGCCTCTCTTCAGCCTGATGCCTCTACTCAGCCTGATGCCTCTACTCAGCCTGAAGCCTCTACTCAGCCTGAAGCCTCTACTCAGCCTGAAGCCTGCATACTCAGCCTGATGCCTGCATTCAGCCTGATGCCGCTTCTCAGCATGATGAACTGATCCAGCCCGACGATCCTATTAGGCCAGTTGACCTGATCCAGTGCCCGCTGTCGTGCCAATTGACTCAGAGCCCGCTGTCATACCTGGTGACCCGGTGCCCACTGCCTTGCCAGATGACGCAGTGCCCGCTGGCAAGCCAAATGACCTGATGCCTGGTGACCCAGTGCCCGCTGTCATACCTGGTGACCCGATGCCCGCTGTCGAGCCAGACAATCCGATACCTGATGACCCGGTGCCCACTGTCGTGCCTGTTGACTCGGAGCCCACTGTCTCTTGCCAGACGACTCTGTGCCCGCTGTTCCGCCAGACGACTCGAAGCCTGCTGTTCCGCCAGTTGGCTCGGTGCCCGCAGTCTTGCCAGACGACTCGGTGCCCGCTGTTCCGCCAGTCGACTCGGTGCCCGCAGTCTTGCCAGACGACTCGGTGCCCGCAGTCTTGCCAGACGACTCGGTGCCCGCAGTCTTGCCAGACGTCTCGGTGCCCGCAGTCCCGCCAGACGACTCGGTGCCCGCAGTCTTGCCAGACGACTCGGTGCCCGCAGTCTTGCCAGACGACTCGGTGCCCGCAGTCTTGCCAGACGATTCGGTGCCCGCAGTCTTGCCAGACGACTCGGTGCCCGCAGTCTTGCCAGACGACTCAGTGCCCGCAGTCCCGCCAGTTGACTCGATGCCCGCTGTTCCGCCAGACGACTCGGTGCCCGCAGTCTTGCCAGACGACTCGGTGCCCGCAGTCTTGCCAGACGACTCAGTGCCCGCAGTCTTGCCAGACGACTCGGTGCCCGCAGTCTTGCCAGACGACTCGGTGCCCACTGTCGTGCCTGGTGACTTGGTGCCCGCCGTCGTCTGGGGGCCCGAGACCTGTTGCTCCATCTGGGGGTCCGGCGCTCGCCGCTCCGCCTGAGGGCCCGAGACCTGTAGCTCCGCCTGGGGGTCCGGCGCCCGCCGCCCCGCCTGGGGGCCCGATGCCTGTCTCCCCGCCTGGGGGCCCGATGCCTGTCGCCCCGCCTGGGGGTCCGATGCCTGTCGCCCCGCCTGGGGGCCCAAGGCCTGTCGCTCCATCTGGGGGTCCGGCGCCCGCCGCTCCGCCTGAGGGCCCGAGGCCTGTCGCCCCGCCCGGGGGCCCGAGGCCTGTCGCCCCGCCCGGAGGCCCGAGGCCTGTCGCCCCGCCCGGGGGCCCGAGGCCTGTCGCCCCGCCCGGGGGGCCCGAGGCCTGTCGCCCCGCCCGGGGGACCGAGGCCTGTCGCCCCGCCCGGGGGCCCGGTGCCTGTCGCCCCGCCCGGGGGCCCGGTGCCTGTCGCCCCGCCCAGGGGCCCGGTGCCTGTCGCCCCGCCCGGGGGCCCGGTGCCTGCCGCCCCGCCCGGGGGCCCGGTGCCTGCCGCTCCGCCTGGTGGCTTGCTGCCTGCCGCTTCGCCTGGTAGCCCGATGTGCCTCTGCCCGGAGTCCTGCCCGATGTGCCTCTGCCCGGAGTCCTGCCCGATGTGCCTCTGCCTGGAGTCCAGCCCGATGTGCCTCTGCCCGGAGTCCAGCCCGATGTGCCTCTGCCCGGAGTCCAGCCCGATGTGCCTCTGCCCGGAGTCCAGCCCGGTGTGCCTCTGCCCGGAGTCCAGCCCGGTGTGCCTCTGCCCGGAGTCCAGCCCGGTGTGCCTCTGCCCGGAGTCCATCTCTCTGCCTGACCCTCTGTACCACGCTGCTTGCTACCTGTTCTGATCCCTGGCTTGTGACCCTGACCATCCCTCTGCCTGACCCTCTGTACTACGCTGCTTGCTACCTGCTGAACCTGGCCTGTGACCCCGACCAATCTCCGCTTGCTCCCCCTGTACCTACCTGCCCTATTGATATTGACCCGGCCTGCCTGACGACGCTTGCTTGTATGTACTGTTATCTGTGGGTGGTTGGTTTGGTTTGGTTTGTTTGCACTGTATTATGTTTTAGTATTGCACTGCGTTTATGTTTGTATTGTTAGTGTTAATAAATTATATTGTTTATAACATATCTGAGGTCTGCGTTTCCCTGCGTCAGCCACACACCTCTGGTCACACCTGGGAGCCCTGACACAACTCCTGTGAGGGTCAGGAACTTTCCTGGGATGAGGTTCTGTGGCTCAATCAGCTCTGGCTGGATCAAGGTGACTTCTGCCCCGGTGTCCCGGAAACCAGTTGCAGACCAGTTGCCCACGGTAACGGGCTGCAAGTTGTCGGGGGTTACCCGCATCTTCCTGCGAACGAACAGCACAGAAGAAGAGTTGCTGGCCGGCTGGCCAGGTGATGTCATCTGCTTCTGCTCAGGACACTGGGTCCTGAGATGTCCGGCTTTCCCACAGGTGAAACATCTGCGGGTGTCAGGCAGGAATGCCTTGGCTCCAAGCGCTGCAGGGTTGGGCGGAGGTGAAGCTTGACTCACCGAAGTAGGAGAGGTTGCTAGGGACGATTTCCCCCCTTTCCAGCTGTTTGGAGGAGCCTTGCGAGGTTCAGGCACTCGTGTGTGGACGAAGGTATCGGCCAGGTCTGCTGCAGCTGTAGTAGATGCTGGCTCCCTCTCCAAGACGAACTGTCTGATGTCTGCTGGACAAATGTGCAGGAGTTGATCTCTGATCATGAGATCCTCCAAAGATTCATAAGAATCAACTTTCAGTCCCTTAGTCCACTGTCGGAATGTGGTACGTAAGCGACTTGCCACATCCGTGTAAGAGTCCCCAGGTCCTTTCTGCATGGACCTGAACCGCTTGCGGTACACTTCCGGGGTCATCTGGTACTTCCGGATAATGGCATCTTTTTAAACGTTCATAGTCATCATCTTGCCCCTCTGGCAATTCAACAAACGCTTCCAGGGCCTTGCCTTGTAGCCCTGGTGTCAGGTACCGAACCCATTGAGCTTGGGGCACATGGTACTGACGGCACGTTTTTTCAAAGGACAGTAAGTATGTGTCAATGTCACTGTCCTTTTCCATCACTGGAAACTTGGCTGCGCCCACGGAAAGAGTGCCGTCCCTGTGATCTAGGGACCCGAGGTTCTGACCCGATCGCTGCTGGAGCCTTGCCATCTCCATCTCGTGCCGACAATCAGCTTCCCTCTGAGCTTGGCGTTCCTCTCTCTCAGCTGCTGCTTGGCGCTCCTCCCTCTCTGCCGCTGCTTGGCGTTCAAGGAACTGCAAGTATGCCATAGGATCCATCTCCATAACACGCTTCAGGGCTTCCTGCCTCTGAGAAGAGTCTCTGCTGGTTACAGGCACCACGGTGTTAGCGCACTCAGGCGTTGGTGTGACGTTAACCTTTGGTGATCCTCCAGTGTCAGTCTCTGTATGCCCATCCTGTGAGGCCATCTCTGAGCCACTGGCAATGTGGGTAACGGGAACCTCTCCATGTTCAAGTTCCCCCGAGTTCTGATTTGCTCGGATATCATACTCCACTAGATCACTAATCAAATCTGCACGAGTTTTGCGACCGACGTCCAATCCTCGTGAGGCACATTCAACTTTCAAATCACCTTTGCTCATTTTCTCATAATCTGCTTCACCAGGCATAATTGCAAGCAAAGATAGAAGAGAAAAGTAGGAAAAGAAAATAGCTGTTGCTATGTGTCTCTCTATACATACATATATATAAAAATAAAATATGCACCACTTGTTTCTAAGGACTGTTTCCACAAAGGTTACAATCCTTCAGTGCAGACCCAACTTTTAACACTGCACTGAATGAAGCTCTTAATGCAATTATCCCACGTACGTTGCCACCAATATGTCACGACCCGCGGTCGCCGTCACCAACAGGCGACAATCGCACAGCCGCAACTAACAGTAATACATCACGCACACGGCGTCAGACCCCAGACCTTCTCACCAAACTCGTGACCGAAGGGCCGGCCGATCCAAAACCGCGGTGTGACGCGCGTAACAAGGCCCCACCCAGCTGCACCCTACACAGCGATTGCCCAGCTAATGGACTACAATCGGTGCCTGCAGCCTGAATGCGCTTGTTACTGGGTCGGGTCAGTTACGCAACTAACCCTCTACTGCCACCACCACTTTTGTCGGAGACTGGGAAACTCCCGTTACCAAATATACACTATAATGATTGAAATATTGATCTATATAGCACGGCCCGCGGACCTGCTATACAGAAATATAATATAAGATAAATAGTGCAGCGCTTGATGTTATATGACTGTACCAGTATTGGAGATGGTACAATATCCCTTACTTAAATATCAGCAGATGTGGACCATATGCATTATATGTGACCAAACACACTATATGTGATCCTCCAATAAGTTGGAAACAGGAGGAGGAGAAGGAATGACATGAACTCCAACAATTTTCACTTCACAATACAAAACGCACAATATAAATGCACAATATAGTCCAATCATCAAAGAAACACAGATGAGTGTATCCCGATGAGATCTTTGTAATGCATGTAGTCCGGCAATGTGCAGAAGAAATGAATGAATTGCGCACTCACCGGAAGCACAATTTAAATGTGCGTTTGTGTCTCATACACCAAAGGTCACTCCGACTGTGGATGGTGTATGAGACACAAACGCACATTTAAATTGTGCTTCCGGTGAGTGCGCAATTCATTCATTTCTTCTGCACATTGCCGGACTACATGCATTACAAAGATCTCATCGGGATACACTCATCTGTGTTTCTTTGATGATTGGACTATATTGTGCATTTATATTGTGCGTTTTGTATTGTGAAGTGAAAATTGTTGGAGTTCATGTCATTCCTTCTCCTCCTCCTGTTTCCAACTTATTGGAGGATCACATATAGTGTGTTTGGTCACATATAATGCATATGGTCCACATCTGCTGATATTTAAGTAAGGGATATTGTACCATCTCCAATACTGGTACAGTCATATAACATCAAGCGCTGCACTATTTATCTTATATTGTTTATTTGAAGGTTGATGGTTTTCCTATACACTTTTTAGTGTATCAGCTGCTGTGTCGGTTAGCGCTCACTGAATCCCTCATTACCATATTTATACAGAAATATAACCACAGTAGCGTCTCTTCAAAGGCAGGGATTCGTGAATTGCAAGTAAGCGCTTAGAAACAGTTTAACACTTTCAAAAAGAAAGATTTATTGCTAAAAGCGTTGGATGCAAAATAAATAGTTACAAAGATGTCACAAAAATATATATATATGTATATAAAGACACAGCAAACATAGAATAGTGAGGAAATACAGGGTAAGTTACTTGCCTTGCCTGGTTTTAGCAAATTCAAGTTGTGAGCCGAAAGGTTCTTTGATCTCCTCTGTTACGATGTTACCTCAGAGATCTCTGTGTGTGTGTGTGTGTGTGTGTGTCAGTGTCACACACTCTAACTCTCTTGAAAGTCCCTCTCAAAAGAGGAGGGGGGGCTCTGACTTGGGAGTGGTCATTGGGAAACTCTACACTAAATTACCAGCTCATATCCCGTGATATGAACCATACAGTTGATCAGAGGAATGTTCAGTTCTCGGGTCCCTTTGATAAGGTGTGGGCTTACATAGTTTGGGTGATAAAAGTGACACCTTTGTAGACAGCGTGTCTCCACTTCTAATATCTTAGGTTGTTCCACCTCATCTGCCAGGAGATAAAGTTTGCCTCACAGGAATGCAGGGGGGATGTGAGGATTCCAGGAAGACCTCAAATACACAGGCAGAACACGAAAAAGAGAGTGTAAAGGGGGACTCCGCTCCAACAAGGATGAGCAAGTTTGCCACAATACTGTACTAATGGCACTGGGCAGGAAGGGGTTAACATGAGGGGTGATAAATTACTTTCTTCTCTGAATGATTTTAAATTGTGAGTTGTGTGCCTTAGGGTTCTATCTTGGGGCCAATGCTGATCAATTTGTTTATTAACGATAAAAAGTTGGAACCCAGAGCTCAAATTCAGCGTTTGCTGCTAATACCAAATTATCCAAGGAAATAACCTTGGCACGGGATATAGCATTATTGCAGGAAGGCCTTGACAAAATAGGGGGTTGGTCAGCTACATGGCAAATGAGGTTCAATATTTGGAGATGTAGAGTTATATACTTGGGTATCAAAAATACTCATGCAAATTACCCATTAGGAGGGGCTCCCCTAGGAGAGTAAGTGATGGAACAGATTCAGGAGGAGCTTGTAAATCATGGACTTAGCAATAGCTAAAAAAGATAGCAACATACTGTCATGCATCAAAAAGGCATGCATTCAAGAGATAAATCTAGCTATCTTTTTACAAAACACAGCCTCATCTTAAATGTGCAGTTATGTTTTGGTCACCAATCCCCAGAATGGATTAGAAAGAGTTCAATGAAGGAAAAGAAAACAAGAGGGATAGAGGACCTCAGCTATTAGAAGGGTTACAGTTATTCAGTCTGGAGAAGAGGTGCTTAAGAAGAAATATGATTATAATGTACAATATATCAAAGGTGACTTCAATAACTGTGATAAACAGTTTACTCTAAGGTCCCTGAGGGGCACACGTGTCCCTAATTTTAGGTTAGAATAGTGGTTTAACCTTAGATTGTGGAAATGTTTTTGCTGTTAGAGGTACTTCATACAGGGCTATGGGAATTGTTAGAGAATACAAATTACATACCCATGCACACATATAGGTTGAACAGAATAGACCTGTGTCTTTTTTGAACCTTATAAACTTTTTAACTATGTAATAATGGCATCCTAGGAAGGGTGACAGGAGCTGTTAGTGGTGACAGGCTAAGTGAGGTGGCAGGTGCTAGTACTGGTGACAGCAACTGTCTAGGAATGGTGGCAGGAGATGGAAATAGTAGCTGGCCAGTACATGTGGTAGGAGCTGGTAACGGTGCCAAAAGCAATTCAGGAGGAGATGTCAATGGAGGCATGCCACTAGA